ATGAGTATTCTTGTTCACACTCGCCGTAGTCACTCACACCCACACCCATTATTCATCCGGGATTAAAAATGTACGTTAACGTTATTTTGTGATGGATCGTATTAAATATACAATGTTTTTGAATCACAATTCTTTTCTGTTTATGTTTTTTGAAAATACTAAAAAATGAGTACTAACAATGAACAAAATGTTAATGTTTATTTATGGTCACACAAACCATTTGATTTGAGATTAGTAATAACAACCTTCAGTTCATCAGATCACATGATGGTAACAAGAGCCGTTTCTACTGATCCAATTGATAACGTCCCCAGCCAAAAGCTGATGGTATAGACTTGTCCCGCTGTGGCCATGAACGACTGGCTGACTTCATCTGCAACTGAATTACATCCATCACAATATTCATAGCTGCCAGTATGAGCAAATGTATTACAGACTGTACCTTGTGGTGTTGAGAATAGACAAGACCCACTTGGGAATGTTACCACCCATGGTGAGAGGCTACCTGATTCAAAGCCTCCATTGATCAACATTTGAGTACCTCCGTCATAAATCGACACATCATCGAGATACCAAGTACTGGGATCATTACGAAGCTGAAAGGCAAGTGTAACTATACTTGTATTGGGTGCTGTCCACTCGTAAGCATAACAGATATATCTATTACTGGTAGTTGATACAATTGACAAGATAGTGGATGAAGAGCCGATATTGGTTGGTGCACATGGTGCCAGCGAAGTGGTTGCTGTTCAATTAAAGTTTATGATAAAGATAATGTTAAGATTTTCATAAGAGATGAAATACCCAAATATGGCAAGAAAAAATCTTCAAGTTTAGTTTTTCAAAATGCAATTTTTCACAGAGAACTAATCCTAGAATTAATGTAGTCAGAAGACAAGATTGTGTACACAAAATTTCATACTATATTTCTAAGACTCGATATACATAGAGGCTAGGGATGCAACAGTGACAAACCGTCATCGTCGCATGCCTAATAGAGGCGCATAGCTTCCTGACTTTGCTTTGCTCCCTAGTGATCGTGCTTGAGAATAAGAAACTGAGAATAATATATTCTGTTAACACTAACACTCATATGATACGCTTGACTAGCGAAATACTCACTTGTCGTAGCACTTGTTGTAGTTGATGTCGTTGTCGATGTTGTAGTAGTTGTTTTTGTTGTTGATGTTGTTGTTGCAGATGTTGAAGTCGTGGATGCAATACCTACAATTATTAATAGTGACATGTAATTACACACTCAACAATGGTGATTATACTCGCGCGGGAAGATCACCAACTATCCAATCGCTATTGAGTTGATGTTTTGGTTATAGGCAGAGGACCTCTAGATTAAAATAATCCTAAGAGGATTTGAGCTGCTAGGCCTTTATGATCGAATATCTCGACAAAAAAGAACATTTTTTCGACTGAAACTCTCAGAATGTTCTAGTGATGGCTAAGACCTATATTTGAGAAAAATGTCAGGTCAAAACTCCGTTATTTGATTTTTTGCTCAATATCGAGAAAATGGTAAAAAGTGCAGTAAACAACCCAGAACTCAACTCAAAAGCGATTGGACACTTGGTGATCTTTCTTCGTCAATTCCCTTCCAATCTGATATCGAAAGGGATGATGATAGAAAAACTCGTCACAAATATCGCTACACTATAGAAAAAAGTTATTCGGAGAGGAGAAAAACAAAAAGCTTTCAATTTATTCTTTAGCAAATAATTAAAATAATACAAATAAAGGATGTCAATTCTGTTTTTTTTTGATTGAGATGATCAAAATCAATGCATACATCAAAAAAAGAAATAGTAATTGAAAGCAGTCATGCGGATTCCGAAAAACAATCAGTGATTTGCTTCATCTTAACAACAGATTCAGAATGAAATTAATATTTGCTTGAGCAAAAGAAAATTCAATTATTTTTCTCATTTAAAAATTTTGCCATACAATTTTGAATTTTTTCATAGGCACATTCTAACGAAGCCTTTTATTAGGTCAATATTTTGTCTTTGTCCTAACAGATATATTTATTCGCTTTTTTCTGAATTTTTGCTATTCCAAAACGTATCACATAATAAAATATTTCCTTTTTTTTCGAACAGAAAGATAAACAATAGTTCGATTCACTTACCCGTGCTTGTTGTAGTTGTCATTGCAGGAGACTTGTGTACTATAGTCAATTGACTAGAATAATTAATATCGAATGTGAAAAATATACGCACATAATATGGCAAGAATGGCAGCAAGTGCAGACAAAAGAAGAAAGGTACCAAGTAGGCAACAAAACCAAAACCATGGAAAATTTTCGCGTCTCCTCCTAGATAGAAAGATTACAAGAATATTCGTTCCCTTATATATTCAAATGATAAATCCGAAGATAAATGATAGGAAAAGTTTAAAAGCGATAATATATTTTTCGTTACGACAAGACACTAATGAGATGACTTGATATTTTCACGGATTCTTTTAAAATGTAAGAGTCGATTCGGAAGTGGAGAATAGAACATTCTCGAATGCAAATTACATTAGAAATAAATAAATCTCTCATCTATCGCACGATCTAAAAGTCAACTCAAACGGATATGAACAGTTGCTAATTGACTTACTTTTTTCGTTTTTTATTCTCGTCAGATGGTCGATCAAATAGGTTCGAATAGTTGAGGGTTAACGATGGTGAGATACTCTTACTTTTATCCGCCGTATCGATCCAACTTCTGCTTGACTAAAATATAAACACAATTTATCAAGGCTATTTCATATCTGTCAACAAACTGACTTGCGTGGCTCGAGTATTAGCACTCCGAGATAGATCAATCGATAGGGAACCTAATTGATCTAGTGGCATTACACGACGATGATATTGTGTTGATTGAATACGGGAAGTTTTCTTCAAAGGTCCTTTGTGAAGTGCCAAACTCTTGTTATTATGATCGGATTGAATATTTCTTCGATCTAGCCGTTTGATAGGAAGCCAAAAAGAAGTTGATAAGATACGAGATGGTATTATGTCCGATGTGGATTCAAAATCAGTATTAGTGACATGATGAGCCGATTGAGAATCACGTTGACTCAGTCTCTGAGTTGCTGGTGGTATTCGACGTACCTTTACGATCGAACAAGAACGAACACTATTGGCACGAGGAACTGATGATAGTTGACTCTTACTCAATCGTCTGATACGAGCCCGGTCAGGAACTGCAGAGATCCGTAATGTCTCCATACGATTACCTTCTGTTTGAAAGAAAATGAAATGAATGGACAATTCATCATTATTTTCTCTGTTTGATCTTTGCCCAACTAAATATATCAGTCAAAAGGTTCCCTTTCATATTCTACTGTCAATAAAAAAAGTGATTGAATTTTTGTTTGTTTGATTGAAAAACGAAATGAAGAGACCAAAGTACACAGTATAGAACATTCTTACTGTACAGAACGTGTTCTCAGTACATTTCATTGACAACATTCGAAATATGACAGCTAAAATAGATTTATTTTCAACGAGTTTCGTTTTTCGAAATTTTTCTCAATATAGTCATGAGAGTGTGGGTGTGGGCTGTGAATGTCTCTTTGTCTCTCATCCTCACCCGCCCCTTCAAGACTTTCATATGAAAGCAAGTTTTTTTCGATTATTATTGATATTTATTAGCATTTGAATTCGACATAATATGAATAACGGACCTAAATTTAAATTTGTGCCGTACCACCATCAACAAAAAGTTCAATTCCCGTAATATAACTACTATCCTCGTTCGATGCAAGAAAAAGGGCAGCCTTAGCCACCTCTTCAGGTTCTCCGATGCGACCCATGACCGGTTTAGATTTGACAAAATTCTTGATTTCTTCCGTTTGTTCTCTGATGGCTGGGGTATTAACAGGACCCGGACTGAGAGTATTCACGCGAATCTTGCGGTCCTTCAGATCGACACACCAACTACGAGTGAATGAGCGTAGAGCTGCCTTTGTTGCACTATAAACACTGAAAGCTGGTGCTGCTTTGCAACCGGCAACTGATCCAAGGATAATGATTGAACCACCGTCGGTAAAAATTGGCAATGCTGCTTGAACATTGAATAGAACTCCTTTGACGTTTGTATTGAACGTTTCATCGAAATGTTGCTCGGTGATCGAACCCAGCGGAACAAACTCAGCAAGAGCTGCATTAGCAACTAGAATGTCCAAGTGACCTTTGTCTTGTTTAATCTGTTCGTATATTTTGCCAATATCGGCCATGATGGAACAATCCGCTTGTATTGCAGTTAATTTCTCGTTTATATTGATCTTTTTGATCGCTTCATCAAGTGCTGATTGTCGTCGTCCGGTAATAAACACATGAGCCCCTTCCGCAACAAATAGTTCGGCTATCGAGAATCCAATGCCATCCGATCCACCAATGATGAGAGCCACTTTGTCGTCAAGCTTCCCCATTTTTCTATTGTAATCGTAAATCGTGCAACTATGTAAGAACAAAAATCGACTTTTGTTCGTTTTTATGATACAAAAATGTAACTTAATATGTTTTCATACGTCGAATCTAAAAAGTAGGAAAAGTGTGCTCAATTAAAGTTCAAGGAACTATTCAAAACCCTTTTTAGCTACTATGGTAAGTCGAAACTAAAGGCTGGGTGTGGGCGTGAGCCATATACATCTATACCTGCACTGCGAAAATCTGACTACGAGTATCTTTTCTCAAAATATCCTTTTCGCATGTATTCAATAGACTAAAATATTAATGAAAACGTTTGCTTTCCAAAAGTACATAGAACTGTTCGAGAACAAAATATCTTACCAATATTGAAAATGTTTTGAGTAACTGACCGAAATCATTTCTTTTTATAGTTATTTTTACAGGCGGCATGATATGATTTATAACGTACTTTTATGTCTTACCTCCGAAGTGCAAGACATGAAAATTATAAAAGTACTTGTCCTTGGTGGCACAGCAGGAGATAGAAAGTGCGTTGTAAAAAGATCAATTATATTTTTCTCGTTCGCTTACCTATTCATTACCTCTATAATAGTAATGTTACTCATATTTCTTTCACCTTAATCGTGCACTTAATCGTCGAATTTTTTATCAACAGAATGGAAATTAAAAAAGTATTTTATTAAAGTAGTAGAGGTTGTTATAAATCATTCAAGAATCTAACTGGAGTACATGATTAGAGAATTTGTATACTTATAAAGAACTTTCGATATTTGCGTGTCGGATTCTGAATAAATACCTCTTGATAAGATTATCAAACTTTGAAGACATCGCATAACCACTCAGTTTGACGATGTGAGGGAGGGTGTAGAATGTTTGAAATACACGCATCCACACCCACACCCATACCCCATCCTTACTATTTCACCATTACAATGAATAGCCAAGCACATAAACAATAGCACATATTTGTAAGTAAATAAATAAAGACTAGGATCAAAATGAATATTTATATTTTTATGTTTATCGTTATTTCTACACAAACAAGTAATCTAAACATAAAATTAAATTTTATTTGAAAATGTGACATGTATTATACGATGACGTCATATATAAACTCATTCCCAGGTCGAACAATCTAGCTCGGAAACGGTGAATTTTCTGAGGATTTTTGCCTGAAATACTGCTTCAGAAATCATTGATCTGGTGAGTAACCATCGTTATTCATGAAAATTTCTAAAAATAAATAGTGAAAAAAAAATTTAATTTATATATTTCTTACCTCCATGGTTATTGACTGAAAACAAGTCATTATCGAGAACAAATAATGGATCATTGAAACGACGTAGAAAATGAAGTAACATTTTGAAAAATAAATTTAAACAACTACAAGAAAAATTTTTTTTTTACAGAATCTTCAGATAAACTCACATTTTTACTATAATGTAGATTGCCATCAAAACAAGAATGAACTGCATCAAAAAATTAAACATTTGTATTATCTGAAATAAAAACAAATAAAAAAAATTATAATTTGGAAATTCCAAAAAATAGAAAGCTAATATAAGTAATATCAAAACGAAAAACTCATTCACGTCTAGTCTAACTTAGCGATCACACGTATCTTATATATATCACACATATATATTTCTTTCCTTTCTATATCACGCGCTCACTGCGTGACCGCACGAACTTTAATCGTCATCAAATTTTCGTTAATTTTGATTAACTTTAACGGAATTTTCGATGACTCATCAACATAATCATCATCATCATCGTGGAAGACCAAGTGTTTACAATCATTATAATGATCAATCAAATAGGCATTCTAGTCAATCTGTTAATCATACTTTACTTACAAATGGTGACTCACTCGAACATCACGATCAACAATCGAACATTTATTTTCAACAACATGCTAATCATCATCACAATCGTGTACCTCCTCCATGTTCTTCAAACTTACATCCTATTGATTCACCTTCATATACTTCTCGACGTGGACGTGACGATTATGAAGATAATGAAGGTTTTTCAACAATCAAGTCAAAAAAACATAAACAATCCAATCGTTCGTTTAGAAATGATGATGATGTTGCTGATGTAAATCAACAACTCAACCAACACAATTCTCGTTCTCCTGCCTCGCCACAACAATTTACTTCAAACCCTCCCCCACATAATTATCCAACCCGTTATCAACAAAATCAAAGGTTTCATCAGTTATCTCCTACAAATAATACAAGAAATACTTTACATAATGCTTCGATCATCAACGATAGTCAACAAGTTTCTTCACCTAGTCAACGACCTCAACAATATAATATATCAACAGCTGCCACTCGTTATGCACAAACTCGTTTTCCCTTCTCTCCTTTTACAATACGCTTTTCTTCTGGTAGCGTAAAAGCTAAACAAGTAGCTGATGAACTCGTTCAACACTTTACGAATAACCACCAATTCGATCTTCAACTTACCAATATACGTCAGTCCACCACGAAATGCACCCAGCAAGATTATGATTTTCTGATTTATGTTAAAAATGCTGATTCTTTTTGTGCTTTATATTTGCAGGATAAATGGCCTCATGTTATTGGTGGTCAACGTTATACGTTTCTATCACCACCATCTTTTCCAGCTCAACTATCTCTGGTGGTAAGAAATGTAGACCTTCGAATGAACCTACATGAACTTACTGATGAATTAAAAATCGATCATCCCGAAATACTTAATGTTATTCGTTTAAAAAATAAGTTCCAAAATGAAATTAAAATGTTAAAAATTGAAATGTTATCAACAACAGTTCGTGAAGAATTACTAAAAGAAAGAAGAATTAAAGTTATGCGAATGGTCTATGATATTGATGAATATCTTAGTCCAGCGGATGTTCTCATATGCTCGCGATGCTGTGGCATCGGCCATTTTAAACGTCAATGTCAAGAACTTAACGAAACTTGTAGAACATGTGGTATTAATTGTCCTGATCTTCGTCAACATACTTGCTCAAATGAGATCAAATGTGTTCATTGTGGCGGCTCTCATGCTTCCAATTCTCTTCGTTGTGCCGTTGTAAAAGATTATCGTGCTGCACTCACGAAGAAACTCTTATCGACAAATACTCCAGCAAACAAAAATTTTAATTACGTACATGATCCTGCATTTTATCCTTCTCTTCAACTACCACAAGGAACAACTCTACCATCATCTTATGCTGCATCTAACCAGAAAATCGAAGAATTATTATCCGGTATGAATGAAATGAAATTTATGTTAAATCGTTTATGTTCGAAAGAAAAGGAATTTAATGATTTTATGGTAAATAAAAACAAGAATGACGAGCTGATGTTAGAAAAAATTGAACGTATAATCACAAATGACAAAATTACGAAAGAAGCTTGTGACAACAATGATAAATTAATTAAAAGATTGATTCTTCCAACATTAGATTTAATCTCAAATTTTCTTGTTCAAACTAATCCTAAAGCTACTGGAAATGTTGTCACTGAATTCAAATCTCAAATTCAGATTAAACGTGCATTAATTGATCAAATTATCTCAGGTAAAAAAGTCACTTTATGACACTTTCTCCTTTTGCTAGTTCGTTTTCGTATTGTACTTCTTCTCTTACTGTCAATGTTCGTGAAAATTTTTTATCTTGTGCTGAATCTTGTCTTTCTTCCTTTGACTTTTCTCTATTGTGTAACATTCTTTCCGAATGGGAAAGTTCTTCTCTTCTATCTAGTCTACTTCAACAATGGGAAAAACACCAGGTCATTGATACTTCGTCCAGTATCAACTCTCTTTCAATTCTTTCATTTAACGTTAGAGGTCTCGACTTACGTCTCCAGGATGTTATACTGCTATCCAATTCCTTTCGCTTTGATATAATGATATTGCTGGAAACAGGATCATTCGATATGACTCACTGTCGCCAAACTTTTTTGAATTATAAATTGTTTTTTCAGGAGGGTGAAAACTCACACGGAGGTTGTTTGATTTTGGTTCGTAACGCGTTGAATTGCGTTAGAGTAGTTAGCAATATTCCAAGCGTATGTGCGGTGGATATTATCCAAGATGATGAGACAAATAGTATTTTAAGAGTTATTGGAGTGTATGCGTCCGAAAGTAGAAGCTGGTCTTGGGACGATCTGTCCACTTTCGTTTCATCTAACTGTCTGTTTTTTGGTGATTTTAATGTCGATTTAAACACTGATATAGCTAAAGGTAATATTCTCTTATCATGGGCTGATAATCACTCACTCTCTCCTTTCCTCCCTGACTCTTTCACTTCTCTTCGTTCCTTGCGTACAATCGATTATGCTTTTTCATCCGGTATTTTTGTTAACATTCAAACTTATGAATCAGGTTCTTCTAGTGATCATAAACCTCTTCTCTGTAGTGTCCCATGTAAGACAAATGAAGTTGTCTTCGGTAAGAATGTTCATTGGAAAGTATTCCAATTTTTTAGCGCTTATGTTTATCCGTTTTGGGAAAAACATTGGAATCTTAATCAGCTAGATATCGTTTACAACGATTACACTACTTTTCTGAATCTTCTCATCGCACGCTGCACTCTTCTCTTTCCTTTGAATAAGTATCGAATTGCTATTCCACCTGAACTTCGGATGTTTATGTCTTATACAAGAGCATTGTCCTTCAGGCAAAAACGTACTGGTGATTTATCTTTAAAAAATATAGTTAGAACAAGAAGAAAAATTGCTAAGATTGAATTGAAAACGTTTCTTTCTAAACAGTTCTCGAGTTCAATTTCATCACGTAATTCTCCCTCATCTCGCTCTATCTCTTTTTGGTCTAAAACCAAAAAATTTATGAAATCCTCCTCGTCTTCTTTACAAGGATTCATTCTTCCAAACAATCAAGGATTTGAGAATGATCCTCAAAGGATGAGTAATGTGGCAGCTGATTATTACGAGAACCTATTTAGCGAACCTGAAGTCTATCGTCCTCATCCATATACTGATATTCCTTGCAGAGCTGACTG